TAATCTCCCATTCGTCTGGGATCTAACTCTGGTCAATCAAAGCAATCTTAAGCATTTGGCCATTGGTGAGGCCTAATTAAAGTAAACTCTTTTTAACCCTTTCCGGCACGCTACATTTTAAAGTCGGAGTTTTGATTTAAAAAAAAGGGTAGGCAATCTAATTAGCCCTAGAGGAGTACACGAGTAAAATTTTGTGAAGATAGCACTTACCGTTTTAATTCTGTGGGTATGCCCAAAATGGGCGCACTGATTGAATAGAGCTTCGAAAAGAGTGCTGAAACGATTGTTGTCAATGAACTGACCGATGAGATGCGGAGAAACAAAGAATACAGACTCTCAGTTGTCCTAGATTATAGGTGAGCCCGGTCTGGGCACACCCAAGGTTCGCCGTTTCATTTTAGGCAAGATTTCAAGGTAAAAATTTTAAAACTAATATAGAATAAGGAGATTAGCATACAGCCAAAATATAACATAGAAATATTTTTCAAACAATTCCTTTTATACCCTAAAAAAAATCTGGAAGATTTTTTTGAAAAATGAGAGTCTTAAAAAACTAAACAGGGCTAAAATATATGGACTGGTTTGTGTTGAGCTGTCATCTACTATAAATAAAGAAGGTTCAGAGTAACCTATAGTAACCTATAAATCCTTTTTCATTCAATTTTTCTGTGCGTACAGAAGGAAATTTTTAGGTGTGTCCAGACCGGACACACTGTGCCGCAAAGAGTTAATACGTTTTAGAAAATAACAGAAATGCTGTGATTAAAATGGAAGTGAATAACAATGGAAAACTGACTATAAGCTGAAACTAATAATCATAAAAATAAGTGATAATTTATTTTTATGATTATTAGTCCTTCACACATTATTATTATTTATGGTAATAATAATGCAGTGAAGGATTTTTAAATAAGTTATAACCTCAATTTTTAAATCGAAAATTAAGAAAATTCAAGGGGAAGAGAATATTCAAATTTCAAAGATTCACTTTAAAACAAGAACATTTTCATTTCTCCATAATTAAAACATTCTTACGGCTAAAACTATCACGGAAATTCTAAAGACAAGCACAGTATTTATCTCGTAGATGTTCCTCTTTCATATACTAGTCTCCAATGTAAATGAACTTTTGCTATTGCAAATTTTTGAGAAATTGCACAAAAGTTGCTATAAAATGGAAATGTGGCCAGGAAAAAGAAATATGAACTAAACAGAAGAACCAACGAGTATTTGTAACTGTGATGAAATGTCACCGCATATACACCTCGTAAACATCTAAATTTAGACTCAAAAGTAAATATTAGAGGCAAAAATAGATGTGGAAGATCATGGCACTAAAATAGATAAAGAACTTTGTTTCTTTTTATAACCATTTATGTTGGCATCACTCATTTTTCCGTAAAGACACCGATATTTTACATCTGTATATAAAAAAAAAAAAAGTCCACATAATTAATATCCAAAAATGTATCCAAGGATCTATGGAGATTTTTACATCTTGGAGTGGCTTACTTCATTCTGTTTTCCTTTGCAAGGCGACACTCCTTGCTGAGTATTTGCTTAGAAAATTAACATGACAGTTTGACATCAGTTTTGTTTTTGTAACTGGGACAGCTTGATATCGATTTCTTTCTGCTAATTTTAAAATGCTTACGAAAGTAAATTTGAAAAATCAGCATTAGTAAAGTACTTTACGAGCAAAATATACAAAGCTGATTTGTGATAATTTAATTGTGTTTCACGTATTGCATTTTGATACTTTCAGAATGTTTCGAAGTATAATTTTTCCTTGAATTTAGTAATGATACAAATATACTTTTTAGATGGTATAGGGTTTAATGCTAGTTTATACGAAGTTCAGGTTATACTCGAATCCCAGTTAGTGAGTGTATACATTTACAGTGATTCGGAATCCACTTAAAGCAAAAAGTTTCAGTTAAATAAACATTTTTAGATGCATATTCATGTACAAGAATGTAGATATTATCATTTATGTCAATTTTTGTTATATTCTAAAATAATAGGCTATCTGAGTCATATAATTCTCGCAATAAATAAGACAACGTGTGAATAAAATTACAAGTTTCATTTTTGTCTTTCATTAAAAAATATACGTATTAATTAATCTAAGGGAACTGAAATTAATGAATTCAACTTTAGAAGAACTTGGCATAATGACTTTACACATATAGCAGATTTCACTTTTTAGAAGTCATTAACTATTTCTTGATGCGAAACTGAGAATCAGATTCACATCGCGCAGTTCAGTTCCATATCATGCGTACGAATATCGTAGTTCCATTTCTTTTCACTAGATGGCTACAGAAGCACATATTAAATATCAGTTATAAGAAACCAGTTTAACCCTTTCACTACAGAATAGTTTAACACTAGGCGCGTGCAGTGGGCTGCCTTACTCATGCAGACAAAACGCTCGCTGGGTTGAACTGTATGCGAACACTCAACACTACGCTTCATAGATTGTAGTGAAGGATTTTTAGGACCTCAAATACGGATTCATAGTCCAAGATGAAAGATTGTTTCACACAAATGAAATTCAGAGCCTAAAATAAAGGATTTTTGAGTGAGGGTGAAAATTTTTTCAAAACTACTGATGTATGTTCATGACGCTTAGAATGCTACTGTTGAACATATATCCATTTTAATACAATTTCATACGAATGTTAAGAATCGCTGAACTACATCAGCCAGTTTCAGAAAAGCAATGCCTTGTTTCTGATTTCATTTTCAAATAACAGAAGCTGGCAATTTCCAAATCGTAATATACGTGATTTAACTTAAAAGCAAGATATGCTGTATACAAAATTCATTGCTAGTATAACAAACAGCGAAAACTCATGCAGCGAGTAAAATTTTAGAAACCTATTCATTGCCTGTGACGCCTACTTGTATTTACAATAACGTATTGAATAATTAAACAGTTGATTTACTTGAATTAAGTAAGCTACAGTCACAACCGCCGCCTAACTAGGATAGTGGTTAGTGACTCTGATTATCGTATCCAAAGGCCCGAGTTCGAATCCCGGAGAAGGCATGGATGTTTGTAAATTTATAATGTCTGTGTGGCATGGAGACACTTAAAATATGCGGTGAGCTAATGTTCTCTCGAAAGGCTAGTGGTAGGGGAAGAGGGGCGGGAGACCATCGGACCCGTCTTTTCTTGGGTGCTGTTCATCAACAGTGGAGGGGGGAGATTACAGATAACATAAAAATGAACATAAAATCCAAACTAATTTTTGATGCTAGAGATTACAATGCGAAAGTCTAACAAGCATTGGCTCAGGTTTTAGCTAACCACGCGAATGATTCAGCTAGCGGAAAGACTAACATCAGCTAACATTAAGTCGCAGAGTCAAGCCAGGAAATAATACTACGGTCAGCGTCGCTGCCCATACTCTCTGTCTAACTTCCAAGAACTCTATTCTTAAACACACGTATCTCATTTACTTCCTGGTGAGAGATAATAGAAAGCAGAATTTATAGATTGCTTCAAAATCATTAGATAATGGGTTAATTAGCATAAAACTCTACAGGTGCCTTCAACAGAATTTTAAACTATTCGAAAACGAAGGTTTAAATGACTTTCGTGAAGAATTTTATATTCTAAACTAAATCTTGAGGACCACTTTCACGACAACTAGCTCGATCTAAGCGAAATAGAATTACAATAGAAGTTACTCGCTACAAAGATCTTTTGCTTCTGGAAGTTTATCTTGGCTGTCACTTTCTTCTAGACTTCTGGAAGGGAAAGTAGTTTAAACAAGGTTCTTTTGATCACCCCAAGTATGTAAACAAATGAAAAACCTTTTACATCCATCATTTGCTTTCCGTACCCTTTAACTCTTTTCCTTGTTCTCCGGCTTTGCGTTGAGTGATCCACTCACAAAAGACACACTTTTGTTGTTATCAAAACAAATTTTACCTCCTGTTCCAATTCCTACAAGGTTTGTTTCTTAGACACATCAAAGGCACCCCATTTCAACATCTCTGCCTAATGGTCTAAACTTAGTTTGAAATTAAGCATAATGTTTATCGGAAAACATACCACTAACTTCTTAATATTTTTGCACTTATAATACACTAGCTCTTGGTACCGTAGCATTAGCACATTTTCATTTACAATAACTTGAAATTCTTGATATATACACAGCAAATTTTCAAGCTACTTGAAATTTATTATTTGCATTACATTTACTCTGTTTCAGATTTAGCAGAAAGAATACACTTACAATAGTTGCTATTATTTTAATTTTACAACAAAATTTTGTGAATGTTTACACCCTAACAAAAGATATAAGCGTTTTACACACAAAAATAAATTTTAGAAAGTAGTAAAAATTGTTCAGCAATAATGAACAGTTTATAAACGCTCTCGCCGCCCAATCGGGATAATGATTAGCGACTCTGACTGCAGTACCGAAGAGCACTGGTTCGAATCCCGGAGAAGGCCTATTGTAAATGTATAATATCTGAGCGGCATGTTTGCATTCTAAATATGCGGCGAGCCGAAAGTTCTCTCGAGAGGTTTGTGATAGGGGAATAAGGGTGAGAGACCTGTCCCCTCCCCCCGAGGTGCTCTTCTTCAAAATTGGGGGGGGATTGAATAAAGTAGTACTGTCACCTGTATGCTGTCCAAGGCTCTTGCCAACCACAGGAGCGAACTTGCCTCCTTGCCTCAATGAATTTCGTGGGCTTGCTCTGATTTCAGACAAGCGAGATTAGTCACAACAACAACATAAACCTTCTCTAGAAGTAAAACCAATATTAACAACAATTTAATAATAACTGAAGTTTTCACTTTAATCAGTAATAAAGTAAATTATTTTTTGTTTTCCCTGCAGGTCTGCTTCGAGTTACGGCAGTACCTCATTTTTTTCCAGGAAATCTTTCGATATTTAGTCAACATACTTTGTTTACTCTTATTTTCTCTATTTTCTGGTGTTTCTTTTTCTTACCCATTACCGCTTTCTTTTCCTTACCCGATCTCTGATTCTGCTGCTCTTTGGTGGTTCTGGCGGCCTTGACATTCTATGTAACTCTGGCTGGGGCTGCTGAATTCTTCCGTCGTAGTTGCCTTCCAGCCTCCATGTTCGTAGGAACATTTCAACTTGGGGAACGCACCTTCCTTTTCCGGTGTCTTGGGTTTTTCTTCGAAACATGAGCAATAATTATTTCTAGACATTATTAATTCATATTCATTAGGCATTATTAATTAATTTTAGCTTTTGTTTAAATTAATAATAATCAGCACTGACACTTATCGTTATTCAGTTAGCCCACTTTGGGACCTAAAAAATAATTCTGTCTTTGTTTCTGCGACTTCTATCACTACGGTGACATCACTAAGTAGATAAAAAAATACGTCAGAATTAAAATAAAAATAACACGCCGAAAAAACCTTACTAGAGAGATCAAGCAACAGGAATCAGAGGAAATTTATAAAAATTTTCTGTACTAGTTAAGAAATTTTGACTGGATAAATAACAGGTGGCCCTTGCACTTGTACCTACCTAACTTACATAACCTTTTTCTTCAACTGCAAGAGTGAAAATCATGAAAGAGAAACCTGTGCTCACGCGATATCAATGTAAACAATAGGCTCGAAAATCCGAGAAAGTTACACCGAAAAACGAAAAGACAGCTACTGGCGACATCTCTTGATGAAAAAAAAAAAAAAACTCTGAAATAATATTTTAAGAGGGTAAATTCGGATTGGAATTTGAATCATTAACTAGAACTGAAAGAGTTTTGAGAGCGTGGAATACCTCTAGAAAATCTAGTTTGCCAACGGAAGACATTTTTTTAATAATTTTGCAGGCAGAAAAAGGGAAAATATGATTCTTTTACCAACAATGATGGGTGACAGTTGATTTATGCGTTTCTTTCTTCCTAACATATGCATGCTCCTTAGTGCAAACTTCCAAGGCTCTGTTAGTTTCACCAATGTATTGTAAACCACACCGTCAAAGATTACCTCAGGAGTTCATGTCCGGAATGGGTATGGAAACTGAGTATGGAACTGAGAATTTTATTGGTAGATGAAAAAAAAAAAAAAAAAAAAAAAAAAAAAAACGACACGCAAGTCAAATAAAATTTGTACACAATTTTATAGCTAACATTAGGAAAGAAAGGAATGACTGTCGAATTCTTGCTATCTCCTAAAACGACAGACTGCTTTTTATTGTGTTAAGATCAGAATGTTTGATTGCTTGGTGAAAAATCCTCTGTCGGTAGCATTGGTGGTAAATGCTTTTAAGTAGTTTAATTCTTGATCTTAACTTGACTTGGACGAACAAACTTGGAGTGCTCAGAAAACGGAAGAATAAAAGGATGTTAACTTTAGCTCAGTCGGATGGCAGGATTTCAAGTGTGGTGGAGGTCAAACAGTTAAACGTTTACGGTAAACAGTAGTACTAAAATTATATGTATTTCGTGTGACCAAGATGTTGAGGAACGGAATGGACTTGGATATCTCAACTTCGGAAGTGAACTAAAAAGCAAGTTCAAGGATATTCATTATTGAGAGAACTTCATTTAAATCTTCTTCATTACCGCCAAACAAAGTAAAAGTATCGCCAACGTAACGGAACCATAGGGAAGTTTAACATTTCATATAATTTGGATTCATAATAATGTATACAGATATCAGTGAGAATAGGATTGAGAGGGCTTCCTATTACTAATCCCTCAGTCGGGTGGTAATAATTATTTCGAAAAACAAAATTTGTTTCGAACGAAGCTGAGTAAGGGAAATTAACTCCTCAATTTCGATGTCATTCTCAATTTCTCAATTACCCCTCTACTTTTGTTACCGTTGTTTCAACAGCCTGTGGAGCCAAACGAAACATAGCTCTGTCTCTCCACGGGTAGTATTATTTTATTAAATATTTGGCGCAAAGTGTAATGTTTCACTTCTTAATTAACTTAAATTCTTGAGTCCTATTAAGATAGATGGAAAGAAATGCTTTTGCTTTGTTTTCTTATGCTTTTGCTCTGTCTGTGAAAATAACAACAGAGAAGGTTTGAAACTGAATAGATTATATGTCTTCTGTTTACAATTTAAATTTACGCAACTTGCAGGATTTCAATTAACGTAATCGTGAACATAAAATTCAAAATACATTTGATGCCGGAGATTGCAGTGCAAATGCCTAACAGGCGTTGGCTCAAACTAACCAGGTGAGAAATTCAGCTAGCTGAAAGACTAACACCACATAACGTTAAGTCGCAGAGCTGGGCTAGGAAATAATACTACAGTCAGCGTCTTTGGCAGAACTCTATTCTTAAATACACTTTTCTCATTTACATTCTGGTGAGAGCTAACGAAAAATGCAATTGATAGTATAGTTCATAATCATAAGATAATTAGATAATTAGCATAAAAGTCTATAACTATAATTAAGATAAAATCTGATATTTTCCTTATATTTGTACTGCGTTTTTAAATAAAATGAGATCACAGAGTTCATTTACAGTAAGCATTTAAAATGATGAATAAAAACTGCTGTAGTAATTCGTTGATTGAAAATGGGCTAAATTTTCGCTTGTTCTTAATATGATCTAAAATCGGTGTTGCAGAGCCCTGGCATTTTATTTTGCTTAAAATGATATTATTTGTAAAATGAAGAATAGAATCATATAACAAGTAGGATAACGAAATATTTTAAGAGCACATTATTTGTAAGATGAAGAACAAATTAATGTTTTACAAATATATTATATCTGATGAAATGTACCGCAGATAAATATAAATTTGTAAATGAGAGGGGAAAATTAAAATTAGCTGCAAATCGTGGTATTCAGTAATTTGTTGTTTTTGAATAGGCAGTTCAAGGCCATTCTTTTTCCTCCTAGCTTTCCTCGTAACCTCTGTAATGACTGCTGTGGACGATGATCGAGTCTTATAATTTATTAAAATGTTCCAATCCTCTCTGTCACTATCGTAACACTGTTGCGCATGTTACTATCGTAGATGAAAGGAGGGCTATTACGACCTTGAAATGCCTTCATAACCGAAATTGTTATTGAATATTACACTGTTTAACGTTTTTAAGCATTTATGTTTCATGTTCTACAGATGATTTTTGCACATAAGAGCTTATTGCATCAGCAGCAATTGCTTAAACTGTGATTTGTAATGGTTTACTGCCAACAATCCAAGCTCACATGACGTCATCACAATGAGTGGGATAGAAACCTAAAAGATTTCTCCCAATATTCGTTGCTGATTTCAAGTAAGCAGTTTAATGTAAATAAAAGGCTGTTTAAACGGGATGCTTAAAGTTTATACGATGTCAAATTTATATTTGTTCTCGATACTTTCGTAAGCTTTATAAGGTATTTTCTCCCTCCTTTCTGCATGTCTTCGTGGTGTAACAGTAGCACAGTCAGAGCGTATTCGAGAGGTCCAGGTTCGAGTCCCGCGAAGGCACTGTTCATTTTTCACATCTCCTGCTCCAAATAACGTAATGTCTGTACAGCCTTATCTCCCTCCTTACTTCATATCTCTGTGGTTTGATTGAAAAGCACGTCCTGCTAACAATCAGAAGGTTTGAAGTTCGAGTTCCGGCGAGGGCATAGCACATTTTTGATGTTTCTGTTTTGGCAAATCTAATGACTCTAGAATGGCGTCCGAACATAATTTTTAAGTTATTGAATGTTATGGACATGGTTTTATTTCATGTTTTTGCTTTCATTGCTATATCCTTTGATATGATAAATCTGTCTCAAAGAAATTTGCAAAAACTGAGTTAATCAATTTTGCTCGGTTTAATTAAATGTATAATTAAAATTGCTGTAAAAGAACTTAATAGATTTCCACTACTGTATTTCAGAAAAGTTTAACCAGTGTAAACTGTGTTTAAGAAATTGTGCGTTGAATAAAACTGTATCGTCGGTTCAAAATACACCTGGTGTAAATTAAAGAAAATGGCAACTAGTTCAAAGTATTAATAATTCAAATAAGATTATGACTACTTCTTAAGATAAAATTAAATATCATTCTATTTTTAAAACTATTTGCATATTAATTAAAGATTTCATTTTTAAGGGAAAATATACAGCGTTAAATGTCTCTCTTCGTCGCGAAAAGTAATGTATAACTGAACTCTGGTTTTCCTTTTTCCATCATTTAATAATTCGATATTTTTTAAACTAAGTAGCAGTTAAAGGAATAAGCATTTAACAGAATAAGCACTATTTTTATTCACCATAGATTTTTGTATGTATATTTAAATTTAATAAATACAGTATAACACCCGTAGGTGGATACTTAAAAGGGAGCAATGGGTTCTGATGCCTAACTTTCAGAGTCTGGTGATTTAGGAACTGTTTGTTAAGTCGGGATGTTCTCTAAAGCGGAATATTCATCAACAGAGGTTTTACTTACCTAAAAGTTGTTTCCTTTATATGTATGAAATCTCTTAGTTTTTCATATGCTTTTGTTCTAAGCAATGGGTCAAATAAAAATTCAACTTACATATGTGAGAAAGATATCCAATCAGCTAGAGGTCTTGGTTTTGAGAAAAACATATCGATTTTATTCTCCTTTAGTTTCATTCAATACTCCTTTCATACTATAATGGCTATATATAAATGCAAAATGGAAAGAGATTAATTTCAAAATTATTCATTACTGAGCTAAGCTTCTAAAATACAAAAGTTTTCTATTTACTGAACTATGTTTACTGAAATAATGGTACACCTCATTATCAGGAGTAAGTTCATCATCCACGACATCTGTGAACGTTACTAGAATATTAAATGTTCTAAACAGTATTCTTATAGAGTTAAGTGTCAAAGAGTTACTATGACTTCTTCATTTACATGAGTAATGAACTTGTAGATGATTCTAAAGGAATGTACACCTTTCGTTGTGCTTTGACATACAGATGAGCTTTATATAAGTTTTCTTCAAAATCCCAGGCAAAATGGAATGTGCAAGAAAGGAGCAATATATCCTTTATACCTATTTATTAAACATAAAGACAAGGAGAAGAAGATCACATATATTGGTAAACTCGGGAACTTGCACAAAATTACACTGTGACGTTTCTACAGGATTGGACCTCGATAATTATTGAGCTTTTAAAAGGCATGCGGTCTACAAATTCAGCTACTGAACTAACATTCGTTTCTCGGTAATTTCCCCGGAGTGACAGAATGATATTACACTGCTGGCCA